CCATCAGCTACACAGTTTTGACCCCCATGCTCAACCCTATGATCTACACCCTCAGGAACCAGGAGATGCAGACAGCCATGAAGAGATTAGCAAAGCGCTTAGTGCTTAGTAAAGGGGATGAGCTTTGAATTAGTTGGCTTTCAATGCAAGGTTTCTCTGGACTTGTGCTATGCTGGGAAAAAAGCAGAGGGAAGTCCTTATACAGAATGACCAGGGCTGGGGAGAAAGCCCAGCTGGTGAAGTGTTTGCCTTAAGAACACAAAGACCATAGAACTCCCATGCAAAATCCCAGGTGTAGCAGTGCCTTGTTTTAACCCCAAAGCTGGAGAGCTGGAGACAGGGGGATCCTGGGGGTCATTGGCCAGTCGGCCTTGGTAATTTAAAGGCCAGTTAGAGACATTGTGTAAAAAAAAAAAAAAACCTTATAGATAGTATCTGAGGAACTCGTCCTCTGACCTCCACATGAACACACATGCACACACACACCCCAACAAATCAGATTACAGTACTATGTCCTGATGAGCTACTCCTGTGTCAGGCACTGTTAGATAATTCCATACTTTATATGAAAATATTACAGATAGGAAAGCTAAGGACCTGGTTACTGGGTCAAACTGGAAGCAACAGAACAATAGAACTCTATAGAACTTGGTCCCATTGACTCTAAGTTGAGAGGCACAGATGTGACCTTCCAACTGGGATGCGAGCTTTGAGAGGGCCTGGGGACATGCTACATTCCTTGGGAAATCTCTCAGCACCTTCACCTGCATCTGATTGGGACAGGTGTTTCTGGTTTCTTCTAACCTTCTGGTAACTGGTTTTGTTGTAAAGTTATTTCTGTACATTTCTTCACTGTGGGGTATGCAACATTTTGCAAAAGTCTCAGCATAAGGTGATGCTAAGTTTAGACCACAATGCAGGAGCTTCCCACGCTTTCCTCCAGCACCATCCCAACCAAGACATGGAAGTCACAGGCTGCTCCTGGTGTCTCTGCACCATGATGGCAGCCCCGAGTGGGTCCTGTCTCTATTTCTTCCTCCCTGTTTCTTCCTCATTTATCCATAGTCACAGTCAAAATTTAGACTAGAGAGGTGGAGGGCCATGGACTGGTGTGATCTGTGACATCTCAACCAGATTCTCACTTCACATTAAAGTCTTTCAAATGTCTTGTGATGCTGTTCACATCCTCTGGATCACCTCTTCTCCAGGAGCCCTGGTCCTCCTGACCACAGTTTCTTGACTTCACCTCCTGGACAAATCTTCTTTCTGTCTTCACTCTAGTATGACAACACCCCCCTCTGTGTGACACTTCTGCACTGGGGTGTGTGGGGTTGTGAATTGTCCAGAAAACATTGGTCATCTCCTCTGAACTCTGTATCAATGAGATGCCTTTGTCGAGGACAAGCACTTTCAAGTTGGTTAACTCAGCAGATCAAAAATGTTCCATGTTGTCTTCTTGGTGATGCCTTACCTCACCTCTCATGCTAAATGTGGCTGCCAGAGCTCCAGATGTCACATCTTCACAGTTGAGCCATTTAGCAAGACAAAATTAAAGGAAAAAGCATGAAAATGATTTTTTCTTTGTGCCTGTGCTTGTGTATGTGTGCGTGTGCGTGCGTGCATGTGTGTGTGTGTGTGTGTGTGTGTGTGTGTGTGTGTGTGTGTGTTGGGTAGACAATTCCCTAGAACTACCTCAGTAGAATTTTTATAGGACCCAGTTGGTTAGCACTGTGGTCACCTCAGTCTGTACAAAAAGGAAAGGGGAACATCTAGCCTTCCTTCCAGGTCAAACAACAGTGTCTGCATGTGGTACCCAAGACAACAGGAAAAGACACAATTGTCTTGACTAAGAAGTCCTGACCATGAGAAGAAAACACTACCATAAACATGGGTCACCAACTCAAATGCCCGGTGAAGCTAACACATAGCATGGGAAGCTGAGAGGACCAGGAAAACCCAAGGTCAGCTGCTCATACAGGCCGAGGGAGGGTCTCCCTCCTAGTCTTCACTCTGCTACTGCAGAAGTCCTATTTTAGAGCCCTAACGGGACATCAGAAAGATATTATGGTATTATCATCATCACTATCATCGTCATCCATCATTACCATCAAATCATTATCATCATCATTATCATCATCATCATCACTATCATTATCATCATCACCATCATCATCAGGAGCTCATGTGTTCTAGAAGGACATGAAACTTTCTATGTACCTAAGGATAACCTTACACGTCTATCCTCCTGCTTCTACCTCCAGAGTGCTTGGATTGTAGACATAGACCATCATACTTATAAGGTTTATAAGGTATGAGGGATTAAACCTAGGCTTCATGCCTGCTAGACAAGCAATCTGCCAATGGAGCTACATTACCAACCCTGAAGAATTTTATTTAGAGACACTAAAAGCCCAGAGGGTCAGTTTCCAGGATTCTATCATTCATTCCATGGCGCCCAACGTGACAAGAATCCATTAAAAACTGCTTGGCTTGGCGGCAGGTCCGCTTTCCCGCAAGGGCGGCAGGCGGCCCGCGGCGGCGGCGGCAGCGGCAGCGGCAGCGGCGGCACACGGC